GATGAATCTGGTACAAGCAGTAAATCCTTTTATCTTTTGATGATGAATCCTTTTATCTTTCGATGATGAATCTGGTACAAGCAGTGAATCCCTTTATCTTTTGATGATGAATCTGGTACAAGCAGTGAATCCTTTTATCTTTTGATGATGAATCCTTTTATCTTTCGATGATGAATCTGGTACAAGCAGTGAATCCTTTTATCTTTTGATGATGAATCTGGTACAAGCAAATTAGTGGCAAGGTTTATCATTATATCAGCAGAATAATAATATGAGAATAGGTGGAAAGAGTCGTATTATTAAACGTGTTGTAGGAGGAATATAAAGATAAGGAATCAAAACAAATCTGCCTTCAAAGCTGAAGTGTTGAAGATTGTCAGATGTCATTCTGATATCAAACTGAATGAAACAATAATTCCCCTGATAGAAAATTATGTAATTTACACCCATATGCTAGGTGTAAATTACATAAATAAAATGGCATATAAGAAGATCCATTACAAGATCGTTACAGTATTCCAAAACTGCATGTAAGTAATTTACATACAAAATTAATCCTCAGGTAAGAATCTTATGAAAAGTTAATAACTAACTTATTACTTTAGAAGATTTTCTAAAATAACAAACATTGGGTTTATTTTAGAATATTACGAAATTTTTTGCTTTGCCAACATCACTGTCAACCGTTAATGCTATTTGTTGACCATTGATTATCATCATTAACAATTGTTTTCATACAATTGTATTAAATCTTTTTTAAAACAATTAATTAACCTGTCAAAAAAATTAGCTTATTAATTGAAATTTTCAAACAATTAAACAAGTTAAATCAATAGAGATGAAAATCTGGAGAATTTTTTAACGTGTAATTAAAAGTTTTAACTAATGCATGGTTCAGGTGCGTGCTAGAAATTTGTGGAAAGAAATGCTTGAAATGAAAACTGGTGAGAAGCATTTGACAGCTTTACGTGTCACTCGTGCAGCCAATGGTATTGCAGACGTGATCAAGGGACGTCGACGACGCCAAGATCAGGATCTATGTTGTACATGTCAACGTGGACCACCTGGACCACCTGGTGAACCAGGACCTGATGGTGCGATCAATTAATCGTGTACTAGGTGTAGAACAGAAAACAAGCTGAAGTAAAGCAGTTGAAAGAAAAAAAAAAAAGAAAAAAGAGCAATGAATTTCAAATGTAGAAGTGGTGTTTTTTTTTTTAAAAAAAAAACAAATCATAGAATGCAGCTGATTGTTTGTTGACTAATAACTCAAACTTACTTCATTTCTAATCTCTGATCTATTTCAAAGAACAAAAAAAAACGAGGGAATAAGTAGAATCATACTTTTAGATTGTGAGAAAGTTTCGTATTCAAGTTATTGAATTTGAGTGATCACAAGGATTAAATTAAACCTAAAAAGGAACTTTTAAATTTGCTAAAATTTTAAAATTTGAAAAAAAGTAAGTGATCACAACTGATCACTTGTTGACCAACAGTTGAATAGCTATTTTACTTTGGAAATGATTTTCGAACTATTAATTGATGAGTTAGAAATAGGAGAATTATAGATTTGTTCCAAACTTGAATTAATAATTCTCAAATGTTATAGGTGTGGACGGTATTGATGGTGTTATTGGTGAAATTGGATTGCCAGGAACACAAGCAATGTCACCACCAGAATGGGATCAGCGATTCCCACAACAATGTCCATGCGATTCTCCAGCAGGTCCTTTAGGTAGTCCAGGACCACGTGGACCACAAGGACCTCAAGGAGATGCAGGAACACCAGGTATTGATGGAGCACCGGGTGAGCCTGGACAACAAGGACCACCAGGGCCACCAGGACGAAATGGTAGTCCTGGAATGAAAGGCTCTCCAGGTATGCCAGGGAGACAGGTACCAGGTAGTGAAGGACCACCTGGACCACCAGGATTAACAGGAAGGCCAGGAAATGCTGGGCCACGTGGACCACCAGGAATACGTATGTTTTCGTCTTTTAACAGAGATTACATCACATATCTTTAATTATAAAATGTAATTAGGCAATTAAAAACAAATGCTAATTTGCATTAATTTGTCCTCACCGATTTTCACTAAAATATATAAATTTCAGCTGGTGAAATTGGAGAACCAGGAACAGGAGGTGAAGTTGGTCCTCAAGGACCACCAGGACAACCAGGACCAGCAGGACAACAAGGGTCACCAGGACTTCCGGGTGAGGAAGGACAGAAAGGACGCTGTGATCATTGTCCTCCTGCTCGATTGGCTCCCGGTTATTAAAAGCAGATTACAATCCCAATTATTCATTCGCTTTCACTACATTTCTATCTGTTGTAACGATCAGCGATAAAGATTTAATAAAGAATTAGATATGGCATATTTGCATATTAACATCCGATTAAGATCCGAAACACAGAAAAATATCGAAATGGACTGAATGAATTTGAATTTGAAAAACGGTTCAAAGGTCAAGGTCAATGTTTGACCATGATTTTTAAATTGCAGGAAATATGTAACAAATTTTCAAACACTTGAAATATTATTTTTTGTGCTGAAAGTTTTTGAAAAAAAAAATGAAAGAATCAATTTTGATAATTTCAAATTTTTATAAATTTCGCTTCTTTTTTGATAGATTTCATTTTCTTTAAGAGTAAACATAACTTTTTTTTCGTTTTCATTAAATTTTCCAAATGAAATATAATTTAATGAATGGAATGTTGCATAAATACGCAATATTATTTAAAACTTTGTAAAAAAAATTTAAAATTAATTGCAAAATAAAAAATTATGAAAAAATGAGAGAAAAAAAGAAATAAAGCAATTTTGAATGTTAATTAGTGATTATCTGATAAAAAAATTTCAACACACTGATATTTTGTCACATAATTAATAGTGTAATTAAATTATTTATACTTGCTCAGCTAAATTCATTCGGCTTAATCCGGTTAAATATTTGGCTAAGTCTATTCCGGTTAAATATTTGATTAAAATTATTTTGGTTAAATATTTCGATTAAATCCGTTAATACATGCATCTTCGAAATGCAATTTTTTTTTCCATTTTTTCTTAAATTTTAATAATTCAACACAATGATGTCATCCCAATATAAAAATGAAAATTTACATCATATTTAAATAATCGAAAATATGTATTGTTACTTTATCAATTGTTGATATCAAATTTTAAATAACAAATAGCATATTATGTTTCGTTGATAAAACACTGATTGAAAAGAAAAACAACAAAGAGGAAGTAAAATGAAAGTCAAATGTCACAACAACTATAATTATATCGAATGCATTCATTTGTTATTTGAATTATTGAAATTTCAATTATCAATTGATGCAAATAGTTCAATTATTACTTCATCAACAATAACCTTATGTTTCTTTTTTTTTTGTTATACATCGAAAATGTTACTTTGTTTTCATTAATTTTTAAAATTTTTTAAAATTTTAAAATTTTCAAATGTTCTCTGCCATGTTCTTTTTTTCACTAATTTTAAAAATCTTCAAATGTTCTCTGTCATGTTTTTTTTTCACTAATTTTTAAAATTTCCAATTGTTCACTTTTTTTTTCAAATTTTTGAAATCTTCTCTTTTTCTGAATTAAAAAAAAAAAAAAAAAAGAAAAGAAGTGGTAAAAAGAGAGAACGAAAGAAAATGAAAAAAAAAAGCATGAAAAATCAATGTTTCAAAGAAAAAGAGTGCTATGAAAAGAAAAAAAAAATTAGTTTAAAATTGAAATAAGTCAAAACAAAAACAAATTTCTCTTTGTTTGCAAATTTTTCATTGCAAAATTTAATGGAAATGTATAATACGTCACAGCTGGATTTTCCAATTTATTGATTCGTTGAAATTCACCGCTCGTTTCTTTTAACTTTAATCGTCATTTTTCATTCCCTTTTTAACAATCATCCCATTTTTTTTTTTTTTCAAATCATTTCAAGTATTAATTTGTCATCCTATCGATGATTATATATGTGACAAAGTTTGTCTAATTGATCTATGATTTCATCTTTGCATCTTTCTAAACAATCTTTGGCCATTTCTACTTTTATTTCCATTTTATTCCATTTCAGATTTCAAGCAAGCATTGAGGAATCGATTTGCTTGTTTGAAAAAATAGCTTATAAAGTTAAGGCATTTATCAGCTTCCAAGATATCATTTTCTGATATTGGTATTACATTACTGATAACATTACAAGTGATAAAATCAAAAAGTCATCTTCTTTATTTCAATTTATATGAAATGAAGTACAGATATTTATCAGTTTAATATGAATGATATTGAAATTTAAAAAAAAAGTGCTTTGCAAGTTTATTCTCAACTGATCACTCATTTTTTTCAAATTTAAGATGACATGTGGAATGTAAATATTTGCATAAGCTTAGAAATGATAAAAAAAAAAAGAGAAAGAATTTAGCAATATTGTCATCAAATTGTCATAGCATAGACAATATATTTAACTCTACTTCTATATTTTCCAACGGGATTGATAAGATGTAGTGTAAAATTCTATATGAAAGTAACTTATTACTTTTACAATGATACATACTAATTTAATTAAATTCCAGCAATTTAAAATTTTACATTTAAAAATAAAAGGAAAATTAAATTGAACTATCTAACTTAATTTGTTTTACTTTTATAAATAAGAAAAAAAAGGATAAAATTAGGAAAAACGACAGGAAAAAAGTGAAGAAATAATAAGAGAGAATTTTTTTTCAAAAAAGAAAATTACCATTAAAATTAAATCCTTATCAGTACTACCAATAATTTCTTATTATCAAAATGATTAATCGAATTTCGAGGATTATATCGAAATTCATTACTGCCACTGTCTTAGCTTCATTTCATCTTTTTTTTTTCCGATTAATTAACTCGCTTTTTAATAAGATATTATGTCATAAAT